GTTTACGCTTTATTATAATATAGTAGAGATAGGTATTATAGAAAATAACTCTTTCTCCCCTTCATCTCTCCTGAATGTAAGATGGTTCCTGAAAATTAATTTATTCTATACTAATATTATAAATGCGAATTTTATAATTTAGATGGATGGATGTTTGTTAGAGTTTGTAGCCTAAATTGCAGAACGGATATCCATGAAATTCGGCAGAGACGTAGAGCATAGTCTGGAATAACACATAGGCTACATTTTATCACGGAAATAGTTATGGTACCCGTGAGATGCATTTGTTAATTCATAAAAACAATAACAGTATCTTTAATATGCAAGTATTAACTTTTTGTAACTTAGTCTTTGCTTCGAATGCACAGAATGACTTGAACGTAATCATAATTTATCCGAAGCGATGAATTACAGATTTATCGAATCAATTTAGATGAAATTATAAAAGCTTGCACATTTTTGCAATCTGCTTTGCAATCGACATCTCCAAGCAATCATGAAATATCCGATTTAAGTCATCGATCCGTTGAAAATGTTTCATTTTTTTCATTGGCTGCACATATTAAATGAGTTACTAAAATACATAACCTCCAAAATCTGTTAAATTAACACAAGTTAGCACTGCATATGACCTTACTCTTAACAATGAACAACCAGGAATTAATTCTATGACAAACCCTGCTATACGATAATGAAAAATCCATACAAAATTATCACAATCAACATTGTTAAAACGAAAATCGCTTCTTCATTTTTTTGCTTATTAGAGTAACTTTTACTTGTTTTCATTGACCGTTGTTTTCTAATCTACCATCCGTGTATTGTATTTGGCTGTTTGCATTTTTAAAATTGTTTAAAAAAGTAGCGTCAGCCGGCACGTCCGTTGTCCGTTGAGGCGGGGTGGGGGGCGCTGTCGTCGTGTTTTGGCGCCACGCACCGTTGCGCGCCAACGCCATGTGACTTTCATAACTCACATCCATATAGACCGACAAAATTTGACCCGGTAGGAATAAGTTAAACTAAATAACAATATCATATTGGTATCTCAATCTAAAAATTGCTGTGATTGGACAGAACTATTTCATGCATAAGTAAATTTGACAAATTTTCTAAAAACTCTAAAAAATTCTAAAAACTAGGCGCGATACCTCTCACCGGGCCACGTTAGTTTATCTTACTATAATTTACCTGCTCAATTTCAATTTGTTATCTGTTTTGCTTTGTCAAGGTACACGAAACTCGTATACATGTACGAATTTTCCCATTGTTAATATAGCATACAGGGCTTCTCGAGAAACTTATTACCTGGAAAATCAGAATTTATTTCAATATTAGAAAATTTCGGATTCAAAGTTTGTAGAATTTAGTAGAATCTCGTGTAAAAGACAGTTAAAACACTATTTTTACGCCATGTGTATTTTTAAAATTAAAATAGCAACCATATTTGACACATAAAAATATTTTCAAAATGTAATTTAAACAGAAAGACCTTATCCATGCCCCCATGTTTTACCTCATCCGTTTAACAATGACCTCACATCCGTTTTTATCGATCAACTGTGACCTATTCATAGGAAAATTTAAAAAAGCAATACACAGACGTAGATAACAAAAATTAAGGCAATTTAATTACTCTATGAACATCTTAACTAAGGAGATAGATGATATATATACGATATATATCGATCTATAAGTGAATGTGCAAATAAAATGTTTAATATTTATAAGATCTTTATAGAAAACTGTCAATATTTAGATTAACTTACCATATTTAATAACCAAGACAAAGAACTAACAAACTGTAAACTTATAACAGGTTCTAAAGATAAATCAAAAATATTTATCACCATTCTAATTATCGAATTGTATAATAATCCTTTGATACTCCTTATAATTCAGGATATGTGTCCGTATCCTAACCTAACATTAGTTATTCTCACCTCGGTGCGTACTTCCTGCCCACGCGCCGCCATTTCCTCCGCAGGCCGCAGGTGGCGCACGGATCATTGCACGCACATGTCTCGCTTACATATTGTTAGTTACTAATAATATAAGTTATAAAAACTACTACTAATTATTAAGACGCGCCTTATTTTTCACTGTCTATAGTGCTCTCGGAATCTAAATCGTACTAAGTTTTATAGAGCACTGAGGAAAAACGCCTGAAAGTTTTATAATAGCAATAAATTTCTTGCAGACACTTTGCTAGTGTTTTATTGTTTACCATTTAATTTGTTTCATGTAAATATCTCACAATCAAATCGATTATGAAAAAAGAAATGCTTGCATATTTCAAACGGAAAACGATTAATAAGTTGCTTTTATTTTACCAAATCAAAAGTTAAATCATCTTAAAGAGCGATAAAACACAGTAATATTATTTCTTCTTGGCTCCTGGTTTTAAGGAAGTCTTGCTTGGCAAAGAGGGTGAATGCTTGGACATCGGCGAGGTGTGCCGGCTTCCCTCCTCCGAT